TGCTGAAAAATAGCGTTGCTTATAATATTTGATTATCAACCCTTAACTCCAGATCATCCCTGCAACCACCCCAGAATAGGACGATATCGGAAAATTCTCGTAGGTGGAAAAAAGACGCGGGATATTTAGTTGCTAATTAGTTGCTCGCCAAAAACGCAGTTAAGAGTATTCTACAATCATCCCCTAACCTTAGATCCAACCCCTCTACTCACTTAGAAACAGTAGATGGTTGGGATTCGCACGCAGATGTTTAAAACTGCTGGATATTTTGTTGCTAATTAGTTGCAGAAAAATAGCGTTGCTTATAATATTTGATTATCAACCCTTAACTCCATGGGTACAAAAAATGCGGGATATTTTTCTACAATCGTCTCTTCACCTCAGATCGACCATCATTTTCTCTTTACAATAAAAAATCGGCCAGAATACGCTCGTAGATGTATATTACTGCAGAATATCGTATTGCTAATTAGCAACTAAATGTCCCGCCGCTTTTTTCCACCTACGAGAATTTTCCGATATCGTCCTATTCTGGGGTGGTTGCAGTGCTGATTTGGAGTTAAGGGTTGATAGTTAAATACTATAAGCAACGCTATTTTGCAGCACTAATTAGCAACAAAATATCCAGCAGTTTTAAACATCTGCGTGTGAATTCGAACCATCTACTATTTTTTAGTGAGTAGAGGGGGTGGATCTGAGGTTAGGGGATGATTGTAGGATACTCTTATCTGCGTTTTTGGCGAGCAACTAATTAGCAACAGAACATCCAGCAGTTTTAAACATCCGCGTGCGAATTCCAACCATCTACTGTTTCTAAGTGAGTAGAGGGGTTGCATCTGAGGTTAGGGGATGTTTGTAGAATACTCTTATCTGCGTTTTTGACGAGCAACTAATTAGCAACTAAATATGCCGCGTCTTTTTTCCACCTACGAGAATTTTCCGATATCGTCCTATTCTTTGGTGGTTGCAGGGATGATCTGGAGTTAAGGGTTGATAGTTAAATACTATAAGCAACGCTATTTTGCAGCAACTAATAAGCAACAAAATATCCAGCAGTTTTAAACATCTGCGTGTGAATTCGAACCATCTACTACTTTTTAGTGAGTAGAGGGGGTGGATCTGAGGTTAGGGGATGATTGTAGGATACTCTTATCTGCGTTTTTGGCGAGCAACTAATTAGCAACAGAACATGCAGCAGTCTTAAACATCTGCGTGCGAATTTTAACCATCTACTGTTTCTAAGTGAGTAGAGGGGTAGCAGCTGAGGTTAGGGGATGTTTGTAGAATACTCTAAATTGCGGTTTTGGCGAGCAACTAATTAGCAACTAAATATGCTGCGTCTATTTTTTCCACCTACGAGAATTTTCCGATATCGTCCTATCCTGGGGTGGTTGCAGGGATGATCTGGAGTTAAGGGTTGATAATGAAATATTATAAGCAACGCTATTTTTCAGCAACTAATTAACAACAAAACATCCAGCAGTCTTAAACATCTGCGTGCGAATTTTAACCATCTACTGTTTCTAAATGAGTAGAGGGGTTGCATCTGAGGTTAGGGGATGATTGTAGAATACTCTTAACTGCGTTTATGGCGAGCAACTAATTAGCAACTAAATATCCCGCGTCTATTTTCCACCTACGAGAATTTTCCGATATCGTCCTATTCTGAAGTGGTTGCAGTGCTGATTTGGAGTTAAGGGTTGATAGTTAAATACTATAAGCAACGCTTTTTTGCAGCAACTAATTAGCAACAAAATATCCAGCAGTTTTAAACATCTGCGTGTGAATTCGAACCATCTACTATTTTTTAGTGAGTAGAGGGGGTGGATCTGAGGTTAGGGGATGATTGTAGAATACTCTTATCTGCGTTTTTGGCGAGCAACTAATTAGCAACAGAACATCCAGCAGTCTTAAACATCTGCGTGCGAATTTTAACCATCTACTGTTTCTAAGTGAGTAGAGGGGTTGCATCTGAGGTTAGGGGATGTTTGTAGAATACTCTTATCTGCGTTTTTGACGAGCAACTAATTAGCAACTAAATATGCTGCGGCTATTTTTTCCACCTACAAGAATTTTCCGATATCGTCCTATTCTGGGGTGGTTGCAGGGATGATCTGGAGTTAAGGGTTGATAGTTAAATACTATAAGCAACGCTATTTTGCAGCAACTAATTAGCAACAAAATATCTAGCAGTTTTAAACATCTGCGTGTGAATTCGAACCATCTACTATTTTTTAGTGAGTAGAGGGGGTGGATCTGAGGTTAGGGGATGATTGTAGAATACTCTTATCTGCGTTTTTGGCGAGCAACTAATTAGCAACAGAACATCCAGCAGTCTTAAACATCTACGTAGGAATTTTAACCATCTACTGTTTCTAAGTGAGTAGAGGGGTTGCAGCTGAGGTTAGGGGATGTTTGTAGAATACTCTTAATTGCGGTTTTGGCGAGCAACTAATTAGCAACTAAATATGCCGCGTCTTTTTCCACCTACGAGAATTTTCCGATATCGTCCTATTCAGGGGTGGTTGCAGTGCTGATTTGGAGTTAAGGGTTGATAGTTAAATACTATAAGCAACGCTATTTTGCAGCAACTAATTAGCAACGAAATACGCCGTAGTTTATATTCTCTGATGAGCTCTTTTTAATTTTATCGTATTTCGGGGGTAGTGTGGGTGCTGGTACGGCAATTAAGGGATGATGGGGGGATAAAATAAATAATGCTGTCCTACAGCAACTAATTAGCAACTAAATATGCCGTTTGCAGAACTTCGATATCTTTACGAGAACCTAAGATATAGTATTGTGGTCTGCTAGGTTAAGACTTAAGCTAGCAGATCGCATGTATCTTTTACAGGTGTTGAGCAACTAAATCGGGAATAGTGTAACTAATTAGCAACTAATTAGCAACTAAATATGCCGTTTGCAGAACTTCGATATCTTTACGAGAACCGAAGATACAGTATTGTGGTCTGCTAGGTTAAGACTTAAGCTAACAGATCGCATGTATCTTTTACAGGTGTTGAGCAACTAAATCGGGAATAGTGTAACTAATTAGCAACTAATTAGCAACTAAATACCCAGTAGGTTAGATGTGCGCGTTGCGACCATGGTCTGCTAGCTTAATATACGTGTCGCCTGCTTGGTCTGGGGCCACGGATTTTCGCCGGCTGGCGGTGGTCCTCGGTCCGGGGACCGCGAATATTTTTCCACTGTCGGTGGTCCACGGTCCGGGGACCGCGGATTTTCGCCTGCTGGGTCGAGGGCTGCGGATGTACGCCGGCTGGCGGTGGTCCTCGGTCCGGGGACCGCGAATATTTTTCCACTGTCGGTGGTCCGCAGTCCGGGGACCGCGAATTTTCGGCTGCTGAGTTGAGGGCCGCGGATTTTCGCCTGCTGGCGGTGATCCTCGGTCCGGGGACCGTGAATATTTTTTTTCCACTGTCGGTGGTCTGCGGTCCGGGGATCGCCCATTTTCGCCTGCTGGCGGTGGTCCGCGGTCCGGAGACCACGAAATTTTGTGCAAAACGCAAGTGCGGTCCTGCGTGGAATATTGCTCGCACCTCTGGGATGGCTCCGCCAAGTACTTGCTCGATGCTTTGGATAGGTTACAGCGGCGCGCGATCCGCATCATAGGCGATGAGGAGGTAACTTAAAAACTCGAGTCTCTACAATTATGCCGCAATGTGGCATCATTAAGTGCATTCTACCGACTGTACCACGGCGAGTGTTCTGAGCAATTATTCTCCCTTATCCCTCCATCACCTTTTCTTCAGAGGACCACGCGCGCTGGCCTACGTTGCCACCGACTTACTGTGGCCACTATTCCTACACGAACAAAGAAATTTGGTGGCTCATTTCTTTGTCCTACTATTCGTAAGTGGAATTCTTTACCCGCGCACGTGTTCCCTCCTTCCTATAATCTGGAGTCCTTTAAGAGAGGCGTGAAGAAGCATTTTTGCAGGCCGGCAAGGTGAGGATGGTTGGTGTAGCTGTACCAGCTATCTTCGCGTTTGGACTTTATCAGCAGTTAACATTAGCCCCTCTAGCTTGAACTATTTCAACACTAAAGCACCGCACATGAGATCAGCTCAATAACCCGATGATGACTAAAGCAGCACTGAAAATTTTTCCAATACAACGCGTTCAAATTGACACGATGCAGCTGGTCAAACAAACATTTCATGAGGTTATCACACTTGCATCACCTATCAGAACTAGCAGAGCTGGGTGTTTCAAATTTATTCAGCTTTCCAGCCATCACTGGTAGTCAGAAACACTTTTTTTATTCAGAAAAATAATAAACAAACTCCACTGTAGTCTGACAGTTAATGCCGATATATCGCTTTGTCATATCCCGTTTCGGTGGTCATGCTAGAGGGGCAGGTGGGGTAGAGTCACTTATATACAAAGTTACTCTATGGTCACTTGCCCATCTAGCTATAAAAAAAAACTCGCTCAGGATTCGGACCAAGAACTTACGTTACGTAACCTAACATCATTGAATCAAAATTTCAGTTTTTTTTGAGATCAAAAAAATCGGAACATGATGGAACCCATATCAAAAGGAAGAAAACATATTTAAAAAAAGAGGAAATATAATTTCTGGTCATTTGAGGTCACGTGTTTTTAAATTAATATTACAAAAGTAAAAACTTTAAGATTTAAAAGCACGTGTGACAAAACCTAAACATATTACTTAATTATGCTACTATTGATTTTTGAGAATTTGCTCTCCTTCACAGGCGTGTAATGGAACGCAGAGTACGAAAACCGGTACGTTCGTTAACCCATTCTGAAAATATTTTATGAAAATTTATCACAACTTTATGTTTGCTCCTCATCAAAATTATTGTTAATTCATAGCACGATTTTACTTAACATATTGTTTATGAAGAGCGTTGTGAGTTTTATAAACAACTTGCTTTGTAGTAAGTGCAACCAATGAACCAAAGTTATTTTTTTTGGTCTAAAACAGGTTTCAAAACGTTTCGTTACCAAACGTCAGATTTTTATGTGCCAGTGTATTGTGCGTGGATCAAGTAAAATTTTAATAAATAATTTATTATTTTTCTGAATAAAAAAAGTGTTTCTGAATACCAGTGATGGCTGGAAAGCTGAATAAATTTGAAACACCCAGCTCTGCTAGTTCTGATAGGTAATGCAAGTGTGATAACCTCATGAAATGTTTGTTTGACCAGCTGTGTCGTGTCAATTTGAACGAGTTGTATAAGTAAAATTTTCAGTGCTGCTTTAGTCATCATCGGGTTATTGAGCTGATCTCATGTGCGGTGCTTTAGTGTTGAAATAGTTAACCGTATCTAATGCTACCTGTAAAATAACCTCTTCACTCACGCACTCTAGTTTATTTTTAGACATTTATTTAGTACATTGGCAAGTAGTATCGAGTTGAATGGTTGCGGTGTGAGTGAGTAAAACACGTGTTCGAACGGGATTTTGTTTTGAAACACGTTGCCGCCTATGAAAAAGTTATAAGAAAATTTTGAAGATGGACACAGGGTCACTGATCTTCCCAAATCCGTAAGATTATTATAGAACACTATCCTTGATTGTCTCGTGATTAGCTGGCACTTTCACTAGCTTTTATCTTTACAAGACACATTACAAATCAACCACATCTTTCATTGCATGGGTAGTTTGTGATATATTGTTATTGTAAACATTGACACTGACCTTGAAATTATAGTCTTCACATACTCTAATCAGATTTTTGATTAGATGCCATTCAACTTATTTGATAGTGATTTTTTATCTTGCCTTTGCAGTAATGTCTGCAATATTTATGCTGTTTACCATTTTTTTTTCTTCAGTATTGAAATGTATCACATGCCGTTAATACCAAAATGTGTAATTTCATGAGGATAATTTTATTTAAGTTTAAATAAAGTATTGTGAGCTTCAATCATAATGATGTGTTTGATATCTGTGTAATCTGTTCTGAATTCTTTTAAAATACCTATACAGGTAACATTTTTAAATTTTAAAATATATTCGATGATGAGTGTTATTTCTTATATTCTGTGTTTAATTTGGTACTAGTTAACTAAGTGTTTAAGTGATATAAAAAGAGGTTTGTTCCTGATAGCTTATATGATAATCTCTTCAATTGACACAAATAAAAAACCTAGCTTAATCCATAGCTTAGGCAGGGATAAGATTAGCTTAGGATTTCTTTGATACATAGTAAAATTTTATTATAGTTAAAATACTATGGAAAAAATAACCATTTGTAAAAAAACACATTCTTCTTATTAGATGTGACATTGACTAATAGTTAAAATAAACTGTGTTCAAACAATGAAACCCTAGCCACAATAAAAAAAAATTCAAACAATAAATCCTAATTTGATTCAAGTTTGAATAATAAAGCAATATATACTCAAAAGTAAAAGTCGTTATTAGAAAGTTTGTGTCAACACTAAAATTAAGATCTCTGCTGAGTGATCTGGACTTGAAAACAAGAACTGCTGCTATATTATTATGTTAAAATTTCATCTAAATTCTCTCTTGTGTCATTTTAAATGGAACATGTTTAAATGAACACATATTCTAATGATCATCAAAAAAATAGTAAATAATCACCTAAAAATACAATTGGTTACCTAAAGGTAAGGTTAGTTCTTTTTGTATTTTATAAGAATCAAATCCATTTTTTTATGATCATTTAAATATGAAGCATTTGAAATAAGCTCTCCGGAAGAGGGAATTCAATTTGCAGCTAACTAAAGGGCAACAAAAAAAATTGCCTGCAAAGACGCAATGAAAACTCACAGTACACAAGGTTATATTCTCATGATATTAGATTGTTACCGACTCTCTTAAATTTATTCACTTACCTTGGAGTACTGTATGTGGTATTTTCCAATGTCTGTTATTGCTTTGTATCTATGTATATCATTTTGAAATATTACTTTAAGAGATATGAGTAGAAATTTACATCTGCATGTTAATACTAAGTTAGATGAGACTGGTTTTATGATCTCATACTTTATTGATGTGTAAATTTTTAAATTTCAATAAAGTGAGAACAGTGTATTGTTATTATGATGTAGAGATACCTGATTCCAAGAATACTAAATATTACCTACAGCTTAACTAAATTATTCACACTCCTGTAAAAGGTAAAAAACTGGTCTGTACTGTATAAAGGTTTTTCACAGTTAATTGTTGAAATAACAATATTTGGTACTTTTGTAAAAAAATTAGTACAATTTAAATCTAACACAAACAAAGTACGGACTTGACATTTATCTGAAACAGTATCAAGAAATTTTAATAATCAATCAGATGTTGATTATCTTTTACTGTTACAATTAGATACTAATAAGATAAGTAGAATACATCATCAATCAATTTAGATAGAACACTGATATTTCTGTTATTATGTCATTCAATGTTTTGGAGTTTAAATTAAATAATGAATCCATCATCTTCCTTGCTGTTTTAATGTGACTCATACTTTTAAATGCCAACGTCATCTCTAATTTAATCTAATAGCTGTGAGGCAACATTCAGTTAAGGAGCTGTTGTTCTATTGTTAGGAGTCTTGTAGATTTTATTGAGTAATAAAATGTATATTAATTCTATATGTATTACGTATTTAAAAATAATACTGTGAATAAAATTTAGCAAACCATCCTTAGTTCAGCTTCTAACCTAGACAAATCTCTAGTTTATGTGTATCTAGTTTATTTTATTGTTTGTACGAAATTTGTAAAACAATAGGTATATCAAACACAGTAGATTTTATGTATGTTTCAACATTTTACATTTAATCAATTCAGGTTCAGGCGCTCAGGAATTATGCGGTCACAAAATATGTTTATTATAGAGTTTAGTGCATGTAGATGAATAAAAGAACAATCTTATCTAATGAATGTGATAATTTAATTACCAACAAGCAGTTTATTTCACAGTCTTGTCTTGAAGCATGTACAAGGCACACACATGTACAGTTGAAGAAGTTGGTGGTGTATGGAAATTATTGGCCTAAAGACACTTATTAACGAGACTGTTGTCTGCTGGGTCTAGGCATGGTTTTAAACCGTGTCTACGTCAGTAATGGGCCACTATGGAGGCTTATTAACGCAACCGGGGCGCTAGTGACAGTTGTGAACAAGTTTAGCTGACACAGGGTTAAAAAACAACATCTCTTTAACAAGCGCCCTTGTATTGCCATTCTGCCAGCCACTAATTTCTTCATCTGTTTACCTTCCTAAGTTTCTTTCTATTTTTATCCTGTTTTATCGTTGTGGTGTCATGTCAGTTCTGAGCCGGATTTATAGGTGTGGAGGCAATGGGGTAACGACATAGTGAGGGCTCCTAAATCTGGACCGGACCACTCATGATTTCTATACAACCTGGTTTGTGAACTGTCGTTTTTTTTTATCCTTGTTGTGGGGGATCCTAGGCCACAGCCCCACCCGCTCTGCCTTAAATCCGGCCCTGTGTCAATGTTGTCTCTAAAGTTCCTCTAAAGCAGTGTTCTTCCAGTGTCATGTTTTATCTTGTGTGCAGCGACACTGAACTGGCGCTGGAGTTGAGCGAGCAGGTTTTCCTTGACGACGATGACTTCTCGACGCGGGCACCAGCCTCGCCTATCACAGTGCCAGATGTGCGACCCTACCGCCCGCCTTCCACAGGTACGACCCGCCCTAACAGATATCACTAGGGTTGCCACCTTTTTTTTGTCGAAATAAAGTACATTGGATATTAAATGTGGAAAAAAAAGTATATTGTGCCCAAAATAAAGTACTTTTTATTCCACTTTATAAGTATGCTTAAAAATATATTTTACGTTGATACAAAGGTATACAAAGGCATACAGCCACAAAATGTTGTAGGAATTAGCTAAGGGCGACATATTCATACTTTCTGTCCGTTTTACGCACAAATTATTCCAATCAACCTCCTTTTGTATATTTTATGTAAAATTAATCCCCGAGCCATCAAATCACATTAAATAAAGTATTTTCGCGTACTTTATTGTTGGCATACAGTATAGAGTACAATTAACCGAAATAACGTACAATACTTTATATTAAAGTACGGGTGGCAACCCTAGATATCACCCACCCTATACAGGTACCAGCCACCCTATACAGGTACCGGCCACCCTATACAGGTACGACCCGCCCTATACAGGTACCACCCGCTAAGAACACACTCACTTTTCACCACGGAATTCGCCGGTGTTATTTGAAATTCATGTTCTAATTTTATATTATAACGTGGATTCCGAGGTGGAAAGTAAGTTTGTTCTACAGAATAGCACGGCTGATACCTACAAACGAAAGACTGCGGGTTTATACCTATAACAGATCGGAAATTAATAATAACTATTGGTAAAATTGGTGTTTTTTTTTAATTATTTTGTCAAAGATATAGACACACTTCAAAAAATAATCAAAGCTTTCACACAATCATTGTAACATGACAAAAACTAATTATAAGTTTGTATTGCTTCAACAATAACCCACCTACCTGCATCAGTCAACATACTGTATCATCCTAAAGAAATTCAGAATTATTTTTAGAACACAGCTAAAAAGTACAATATTTAACTTGAGAAATCATAAAAACACAAATCTCTTATCATAAAAATATTAAGAGATAGACATCATATCGCATACTGCATCACATTTCAAGTCTGGCGTTTGATTATTCGCCGTCGCGTAGGATAGCATTTAAACTCGGCGAGCGCTTAAATGGCAGACCTTGGCCTGTGTCATTTGCGGTATCATAGACTTCCTTGTTTTTTTCCGGCCTCTGACCTCTATCATAAGAGGTCGCGAATTCGCGATGGAAAGGCAGGGCATAGCTGCCTTCTTGCTTGAATCGGAGCTACCGTCGGGAAAAGTAACGCTCCCTAATAAGACTGAAAATATGTTATAGTCTCTAGTCCCGCTCCAGGATTGAGGGAATTATATTCAGATTCAGGTTTACATAGTGCTTATAAATACTCTCTTTACTCAACGCTCCAATCCAAATCAAAATATAAAAAAACGAGCGAGCCTTACAGTAGTCGCGTATGATGTGTAACATTTGAAACCTCACCTCATATTAGTAAAAAAAGAAATAAAACCTACTACAAAAGGATTATGCCATTTGAACATTATGTTCTAAAATCAAATCAAATAGCGCGCGCTTTCGCGATTTCCTGTTACACACTTCCGTCCCGTTTCACGAAATCACTCCCACAAATTGTAGGAAAGCGAGAGGAAAGATGTTACACATCAAAAAATAGGCCAAATGCGAGTCGAATTTGCGCACGTATTATTCCGTATATACTATAAGCTTGATCCTTTATGGGTTTATTTTTTTCCCGATTGAGGCACGTGACCCATTAACAGCCTAAACCACAAAATAGTGCAGGTAATGTAAATATAGTTTTGTGCCTAAACATAGAATAGAATTACCTATTAAGGAACTGAAAAACAGGTCTTTTGTTTGTCCATCAATAGCATTATTTGCTCACTCATCCTGTGTTTTACAGCTATCAAAAAACAAATTCACAAAAAAAATCTAGTAATCTGAAGTGGATAGATATATTTTACCGTTTCGTCGTACTGAACATTTTTGGCATTATTATCTTTGGCAGCCTGCTATAATCTAATTCGCGTTTTACTTCAAACGAGTAAAAAACTATTCTGTGCGCATATGAATAAAAGAGTGCCACAATCGGGAATACGACCTTGAACCCGCCAAGTCGACGACTTTTCAAAGAGCGCACAGCAAATCCTCAGACTGTAACTACCTTTATTTGCCAATCTATTTTCAAACTTAGTGTTTGGTTAGATTGCCCAAAATCCACTGTCGAATTTTGACGCTTTGTGCTAGCCCGAAAAGTGTTGATGTTTGAACACATACCTACCTAGTTTCCGAAAGCCAATGACTCGCTTAAAAGACGTCTGAAAGGAACGCATATAATATATTTTAAGTATACACGAAGAGATTTACGATTCCTGAATATGTGACGCATAAGACGTGCATTGCAGCTAGGGTTACCAGATGAAAAAATCAGAAGTCCGGAGAAACGACTTGATTTCCATTGAAAAATCCTGAGGTTTTTTAGTTTGAGAATATTCTCTCAAACGTACTTAACAATTTAAAAAAGTCGTAATATTATCGTTTATATACACTGCTTATGTCAATTCAATATAATTTAAAGAGCTTAAGATGTGGGGCATTTTATAAATCCATAATTAAAGAAAAAGTCTTACTTAAAAATGAATCTTCACATATTAAGTATGATAAAGCTGATTAAGTACCTACATGGATAAAAAATAAAGACTGATTTTAATTGTGCAATTATTACCATAGAAAGATTATTTTTAGTTTGTTTAACATTTTTTTAAAGAGATCTTTAAAACGTTAGCTGTATTTTATTGAAAATTCAAAAAATCCTGAGATTTCATGAGATTTGCAAAATCCAGTCGCAATCCTGAGAAGAGTCCACAACTCCTGAAATCTCAGGACAAATCCTGAGATATGGTAACCCTAATTGCAGCGAAAATTGTGCCAACAAACACCAACTGTGGGATCGTAACGTCCAAAGATACAGTTTCCTGGAAAAAGAGTATTGTTATAATATGCTCAGAAGACGCAAGCCGGTTTAGTTTTATTTCGGTCTTGTAAATATTATAAACGTATGTTAATTCTTATCGCTTCGATGTTTGTTTGCACTTCATGATTTCCTGAGATTCGTATTCTACAATTTACTTAGATAAGTATTCTAAGGAGCTCGATGGCGCTATGGATGGAATAGAGAGATTGGGTCATGACCCACCACGCGGGCCCAGTGCGGATTGGCGGGTGCTAAAGACTGCAGATGCAACCGGGACCAACGGCTTTTTAAATAACCTACAAATCAATAAAATTAAAAAAAAAAGTCTTCAGTGTCAATTGGTGGCAATGCCAGTTTTTGCAGCAACATCGTGATGAAGTTATCCTTATAGATTTCTCGGTAAAAAAACGGGCGTTTATTTCAGGAAACAGAATAACAAATACAACTGTTTTCTAAGAAGTTGCTTTTCAAGTGGCCGACCTCCTTTTGAGACGTTATCTATCGATCCATCACTGCATATTTGGCATTATTTGGATTCGGTCGGACGTAGGGTTACCATCCGTCCGGATAAGTCCGGACATATCCGGAGTTCTTGACCATAGTCCAGAGTAATGGTACCATTTTGTGACTAAAAAGTCCGGACCTTTTTTCGAAATGTCAGGATTTTTGAAATTCCTAAATGGTAACCCTAGTCGGACGGGACCACACGCACGTGGCGACCTACATGCGCTACGAATGTGACACCTTCATATGATTACCAGACACCATTGCTTATGGTGTGGCTATGTGTGATGAGCATTGAAACGAGAGCTTGCCAACGTTATCATGTTGCATTATGGGACTTCATCTTAAATGCGTCTACTGTATAAATTGCACAGGTACTGATGCTATTGTTGGTCAGATGGGTGGCAAACTGGCAAATAAGCACATGGCCAACCTGAGGGGCATACGCCTAACGGGATTGCTATGGACAACGCTATCGCTTACGATTTCATTTTGTTATTTCTGACCGCCGAAGGTTTTCAAATACCTCACGCTCATTTTCTTTTATATTGTTACTAGCTGACCCAGCGAATTTCGTACCGCCATAAAAATAGGGGCAGGTGGTATAAGAGAAAATTTAGGGTTGTATGTATTAATAATGAAATCGCTGGATTGAGACATAGGATTTTTTTTTACCCGGAAAATTTTCTGTGGAATTCTAAAAAAAATAAAGTTATCGCAGGTGTAGTCGCGGGCGATCGCTGTTAATACAATAAGTAGCAAGTACTCTAGCACCAACATTTGATGTCGACGTCTCTTTGCTGGCGTCGTTCGTTCGGTAGCGCTGTATGGAGCGCCGATTTGGAGTGGCTGTCTCACCAACCGCAGCAAGGCCCTGCTACGTCAGGCGCAAAGAGTCATGGCGGTGAGGATGGTCAGAGGTTATCGCACGATCGCCTACGAGGCCGCCTGCGTACTTGCCGGTACAGTCCCTTGGGATCTGGAGGCCGAGGTGTACGCAGACGTGTACGTCAAATCGTCGGAGGCCAAGGCGGAGGATCGTGTTCCGATGCTCGAGGAAATCCGAGCCTGGAGGGAAGACGCCAGCGAGACGGCGCTCGACAAGTGGTCGGCCAGATTGGAGGAGCCGACGGCAGGCGTGAGAGTTGTCGAGGCAGTGCGTCCTGTTTTAAGAGAGTGGCTAAGCAGACGGGGTGGTGGGCTCTCCTATCGTATGGTGCAGATACTCAGCGGACACGGCTGTTTCGGGAGGTATCTGCACAACATCGCGAGAAGAGAACCAACCACCATCTGTCACCAGTGCGGTGCGGCCAATGACTCAGCTCAGCACACTCTGGCTGAGTGCCCCGCCTGGAGTGAACAAAGAGCGGTGTTGATGAGGGCAGTTGGGGGCGATTTGTCGCTGCCGTCGGTGGTAAGGGCTATCGTTGGCGACAGGAATGCATGGGACGCCGCAAAGACATTTTGCGAGACTGTGATGGCCCAAAAGGAGACAGAGGAGCGGTCCCGAGAGGTGGACCCCTCAGCCGCCCCGATGAGACGCCGTCGAACTGGGCGCAGAAGGCGCAACTT